CCCCAAAACCCCAAAACCCCAAAACCCCGAGGAAGATTAATTTTTATTCAGGTTATTAAATTTCTTAATTCAAAATATTGAATCAAAAACATTATATAATCAATCTTAAATAATCAGAACACTTTGAAATAAATTCTAGATGAGCCACTAGCCTAGTCAAAATTATTAAAAATCAATTTGATAGTCTAACTTTTATTAGACTACTCAAGAAATGCCTTTAATATCTCGAATTATGTTCTTTTTATGAATAATTTTTATCTTGTTTAATAACGATTCAATATATGTCTCTTATTTTTTAAAATCTAAGTTAACACTGTAGACCGAATTTGTTATTTAGGATGTTTTAATTTCAGTTTCTTAAGACTAATCTCTGTGATTATTTGGATCATTAAGTATTCTTTTAACTATGTTTTCTTTATTTTACTACTAAGACTGATTGAATTCAAAATTAAAATTTATTTCTTTAATCAATGGAATCATTCTGAATTGGTCTTTCTTTTTTGCTGTGATATTTTCAATTAAGTTTTAATGTTTCATTGAAAATAACTACTCTTCCTAGCTTATTTTATCATCTGTATGAATCTTAGATTGTTAATCTTGATTTATCTACTTCTTAAGTTCTCTTATTTTCTATGATATTTTATTCTAATTTAGTTTGATAATATGTTCTTTTGTAAGTCCTATTTCGCTATTAAATGAATAATCCAACGAGTTTTCTTTAAGTAATTAATCTTTTTTTAATTTTGATTTTTTAAGCTCTTGATTTATTTTTCTTTATCTATATATCTTCTTTATATTATAAAGAGCCTTTCTTATGGCAAAATGAACAGATTTAATTATGTGAAAGAGAAATAGCCCCATATTGAACATAATACTAATCAAGATAATTGCTGTAATTCCATAACCAAAATTTATCTTAAGGTCTATATTGACATTATGCTCAGAAAATGCAATTAAACCTGTGCATACAATTAAAACAATGTACTCATTGAAGCAATCGAAAATGTTGTCAATTGGTTCTTTATATGGTTTTGATAAGGATATCAATATAAGATTAGCAAGACTTAGCAAAATGCATATTTAAATCTGAATTCCAGGGAAATCACTCAAAAATACTAGAGTTAAGGCATATATCATTCTTCTGGTGATAAAGATAGAGGTAGAAATTAAAGTGAAATATTTCTTAGGCTATAGATAGTTATAGAATGATCCATATCTTCCTAAAAACCTAATTATTTCTAGCTTCTTCTTGTTTTCAAATAAAAAAACGTATATAGCAAATGGGGAAGCAATATACATTGATATTACTAAAATACTCAAGATCCTTGTCTCAGTAGCTAATGACTAAAATATTAACTAACAATCAAGCATACATTTTTCAATCCATAAGAAAATTATAGAAATATTTTTAGATACGTTTTAGAGAAATATGTTATCACAGCTGAAAACATTATTTTATTCTACATAAATTCTGCTATTTTCTTTATTCTATAAAAAGAAATAATGAGTAAAGAGTATTATCACTTAAATACTAACCTTTTTTAGTTTTATGTTTTTATCAGGAGTAAGAGCGTCAAAATAATAATAATCAAGATTACCGATATCAATATTATCTATCCAAGATTTTTAAACATTAATTTATCAGAATAGCATAATCTAATTAAGGGAAATTTACTTCATTTAAAGATAACATATTTTAAAGATATCCATCATATCAATTTTATTTTCAATTGCTTCACCAGACTAGGCAAATTTATCAATTATAAAATCACTAAGTTGCTACGGAATAATTTTTACATTTGAAATGTCAAGTATAGTTTATAAACAAATCATCAAATTTGATGGTATTGATAATCCTAACAAAGGAATATGAGTAAGAATCTGAAGGTTATTAAGTAAACTCCAAATTTGTTTTAATGACACTCCAAGGAAAAATGCCAATGCTAAATTTGATATAATACTTGCTGTTAGAGATTAATCTATCAGTGTAAAAGTGGCAGCTATTGTCTTCATTAAGGCTATATTTAGTTAGAAACTAAAAATAATACTAGAATTAGATATCTATGGAGGCATATTGCCTTCTATTATCAAACCCTCAGGCACAGAGTAGTTGCTCTCTGGATTTTAAAAATACTAATTCCTCAGAAATCTTACCAAAACAGAGTCAAATGTCTAAAATAAATTCTTAAGTAATTTCTAATCCTTACCCCAGATTAAGATATATATTGTGGATTAACTAGTTTTAGTTAAAGTATTATCAGATTTCTAGTAAATTTCTTAATGTAGAAGTCTTCTATAGATGCATTAACAACAGAGCTAAGTTTGAGTTAGCAACTCAGATCTTTAGAAATATTCTAATATTAGGATGAATTTGTTTCCAATATAGATTATGGGAACTTGATATATATTTGTCCATCCATTGTTACTTAGGTTATTTATGGATTGCACTTGATTGATTCCTTGCATTTCAACTTATTTTTGTCAATCTCCACAGTTATTGAAAACAACACTATTTTAAGAATTTCCCCATCATCATCTGAAATATAAACTCTTACATTGTAGAAGCCACAGTCATCTATGCCTGGTTGAAATATAATATTTCTTTGATCTAATTTGCTGAATTTCTTTGCTAGATTGAATTCGAGCTTAACTTGATATTTGTCTAGACATTAAGGAATTTTTACAGTCCTTTATTAGTTAGCGAATAAAATAAGATTTAGAAAAGCACATGAAGAATCTTTGCCATCCATTATATCTTCTTTCTGCTATTGTGGACGAATATTGAGAGTTACTGGTACCGATGTGATATTTTCTTAATTTTAAGTCATGAAATACAGTCTGAAATTCCAAGTTACAGCATATTCTTTACTTTTGCAATAGACTACAAGTTATTTAAGGGCATTACTTATTCTATAAACCATAGGATTTTCTAAATCAGACACAACATCATATCTAATCTCACATTAGCTGTGTTAATAGTAGAAAGACTTTTGTAAATCAATTGTTATCTAGTTTTACTTAAGTGTGTAATTTTGAACTATCTCTGATAATTTAGCTGCAAACTTTACTTTTTAGCAAGAGACTATTACTTTCACATATGAATAATCGAACTGCGATCTATACTTTTTAGCAAGAGACTATTACTTTCACATATGAATAATCGAACTGCGATCTAATTTTATCATTTGTAGCTATTTAAATTAAATACTAGTCCTCTTTCATATTATTAGACCCACCTATCTCAAGCATAAAATGTGTTTTGTTTTAGTACTTCGACTCATTCCTAATGGTAGAGTTAATTAGATCTGGCTACTCTCTAATTTGATAGGAAAATGATCTTATACAAGAGGGAATAGATGAATCATTTAGCATATTTGTCTAGTTTGAATCAAATATATTTTTTGGTAAATAAAATTGCTAGAATTCCTTATAAACCCCCAAACCCAAGTAGTATGTAAGATTACCGTAATTTGGCGGAGGAAGGGATGAACATATTTTATTTGATTGTTGATCTAGATTTGTTGAGTTAAATAGGTCTAAAGTAATGTCAAAATTTATGCTTTTAAAGTCTGTATTTGAAATTGAATATTAACCAGTATTGATGTCAAGAAAAGTAACTTTTTCAGTAGTATACCAATCTTTATCTATATTTGTGCTAAAAACAGGATTATCATTTAAATTTCTTAATTCAAAATATTGAATCAAAAACATTATATAATCAATCTTAAATAATCAGAACACTTTGAAATAAATTCTAGATGAGCCACTAGCCTAGTCAAAATTATTAAAAATCAATTTGATAGTCTAACTTTTATTAGACTACTCAAGAAATGCCTTTAATATCTCGAATTATGTTCTTTTTATGAATAATTTTTATCTTGTTTAATAACGATTCAATATATGTCTCTTATTTTTTAAAATCTAAGTTAACACTGTAGACCGAATTTGTTATTTAGGATGTTTTAATTTCAGTTTCTTAAGACTAATCTCTGTGATTATTTGGATCATTAAGTATTCTTTTAACTATGTTTTCTTTATTTTACTACTAAGACTGATTGAATTCAAAATTAAAATTTATTTCTTTAATCAATGGAATCATTCTGAATTGGTCTTTCTTTTTTGCTGTGATATTTTCAATTAAGTTTTAATGTTTCATTGAAAATAATTGCTCTTCCTAGCTTATTTTATCATCTGTATGAATCTTAGATTGTTAATCTTGATTTATCTACTTCTTAAGTTCTCTTATTTTCTATGATATTTTATTCTAATTTAGTTTGATAATATGTTCTTTTGTAAGTCCTATTTCGCTATTAAATGAATAATCCAACGAGTTTTCTTTAAGTAATTAATCTTTTTTTAATTTTGATTTTTTAAGCTCTTGATTTATTTTTCTTTATCTATATATTTTCTTTATATTATAAAGAGCCTTTCTTATGGCAAAATGAACAGATTTAATAATGTGAAAAAGAAATAGCCCCATATTGAACATAATACTAATCAAGATAATTGCTGTAATTCCATAACCAAAATTTATCTTAAGGTCTATATTGACATTATGCTCAGAAAATGCAATTAAACCTGTGCATACAATTAAAACAATGTACTCATTGAAGCAATCGAAAATGTTGTCAATTGGTTCTTTATATGGTTTTGATAAGGATATCAATATAAGATTAGCAAGACTTAGCAAAATGCATATTTAAATCTGAATTCCAGGGAAATCACTCAAAAATACTAAAGTTAAGGCATATAACATTCTTCTGGTGATAAAGATAGAGGTAGAAATTAAAGTGAAATATTTCTTAGGCTATAGATAGTTATAGAATGATCCATATCTTCCTAAAAACTTAATTATTTCTAGCTTCTTCTTGTTTTCAAATAAAAAAACGTAAATAGCAAATGGGGAAGCAATATACATTGATATTACTAAAATACTCAAGATCCTTGTCTCAGTAGCTAATGACTAAAATATTAACTAACAATCAAGCATACATTTTTCAATCCATAAGAAAATTATAGAAATATTTTTAGATACGTTTTAGAGAAATATGTTATCACAGCTGAAAACATTATTTTATTCTACATAAATTCTGCTATTTTCTTTATTCTATAAAAAGAAATAATGAGTAAAGAGTATTATCACTTAAATACTAACCTTTTTTAGTTTTATGTTTTTATCAGGAGTAAGAGCGTCAAAATAATAATAATCAAGATTACCGATATCAATATTATCTATCCAAGATTTTTAAACATTATTTTATCAGAATAGCATAATCTAATTAAGGGAAATTTACTTCATTTAAAGTTAGCATGTTTTAAAGATATCCATCATATCAATTTTATTTTCAATTGCTTCGCCAGACTAGGCAAATTTATCAATTATAAAATCACTCAGTTGCTACGGAATAATTTTTACATTTGAAATGTCAAGTATAGTTTATAAACAAATCATTAAATTTGATGGTATTGATAATCCTAACAAAGGAATATGAGTAAGAATCTGAAGGTTATTAAGTAAACTCCAAATTTGTTTTAATGACACTCCAAGGAAAAATGCCAATGCTAAATTTGATATAATACTTGCTGTTAGAGATTAATCTATCAGTGTAAAAGTGGCAGCTATTGTCTTCATTAAGGCTATATTTAGTTAGAAACTAAAAATAATACTAGAATTAGATATCTATGGAGGCATATTGCCTTCTATTATCAAACCCTCAGGCACAGAGTAGTTGCTCTCTGGATTTTAAAAATACTAATTCCTCAGAAATCTTACCAAAACAGAGTCAAATGTCTAAAATAAATTCTTAAGTAATTTCTAATCCTTACCCCAGATTAAGATATATATTGTGGATTAACTAGTTTTAGTTAAAGTATTATCAGATTTCTAGTAAATTTCTTAATGTAGAAGTCTTCTATAGATGCATTAACAACAGAGCTAAGTTTGAGTTAGCAACTCAGATCTTTAGAAATATTCTAATATTAGGTTGAATTTGTTTCCAATATAGATTATGGGAACTTGATATATATTTGTCCATCCATTGTTACTTAGGTTATTTATGGATTGCACTTGATTGATTCCTTGCATTTCAACTTATTTTTGTCAATCTCCACAGTTATTGAAAACAACACTATTTTAAGAATTTCCCCATCATCATCTGAAATATAAACTCTTACATTGTAGAAGCCACAGTCATCTATGCCTGGTTGAAATATAATATTTCTTTGATCTAATTTGCTGAATTTCTTTGCTAGATTGAATTCCAGCTTAACTTGATATTTGTCTAGACATTAAGGAATTTTTACAGTCCTTTATTAGTTAGCGAATAAAATAAGATTTAGAAAAGCACATGAAGAATCTTTGCCATCCATTATATCTTCTTTCTGCTATTGTGGACGAATATTGAGAGTTACTGGTACCGATGTGATATTTTCTTAATTTTAAGTCATGAAATACAGTCTGAAATTCCAAGTTACAGCATATTCTTTACTTTTGCAATAGACTACAAGTTATTTAAGGGCATTACTTATTCTATAAACCATAGGATTTTCTAAATCAGACACAACATCATATCTAATCTCACATTAGCTGTGTTAATAGTAGAAAGACTTTTGTAAATCAATTGTTATCTAGTTTTACTTAAGTGTGTAATTTTGAACTATCTCTGATAATTTAGCTGCAAACTTTACTTTTTAGCAAGAGACTATTACTTTCACATATGAATAATCGAACTGCGATCTAGATTTATCATTTGTAGCTATTTAAATTAAATACGAGTCCTCTTTCATATTATTAGACCCACCTATCTCAATCATAAAATGTGTTTTGTTTTAGTACTTCGACCCATTCCTAATGGTAGAGTTAATTAGATCTGGCTACTCTCTAATTTGATAAGAAAAATATCTTGAACAATAGGGAATAGATGAATCATTTAGCATATTTGTCTAGTTTGAATCAAATAGATTTTTTGGTAAATAAAATTGTTAGAATTCCTTATAAACCCCCAACCCCAAGTAGTAGGTAAGATTACCGTAATTTGGTGGAGGAAGGGATGAACATATTTTATTTTATTGTTGATCTAGATTTGTTGAGTTAAATAGGTCTAAAGTAATGTTAAAATTTATACTTTTAAAGTCTGTATTTGCAATTGAATACTAACCAGGAAAGGTGTTTAGAAAAATAACTTCAGAAGTATACCAGTCTTTATCTATATTTGTGCTAAAAACAGGATTATCATCTCTAAAATATAAACTTGCGCAAGAATTTATTTCGTTTGAAAGATTATCAAAAAAGTAAATTTTTGTTTTTGTAATTTTGTCATTCACGTAAGTGCAGTCAAAGAAAGTATTGAATGCTCCAAATAATATTCTCTTCTCGTATGAGTATTTTGAAAGTTTTGCGAATGCTTAATATATCAATTAATAGTTTTATGCAGTAAACCTTCTACTTGTTATCGTTTTATTAAATTCATATCTGAAGTAAAATATATAGGTTTATTTTCTTAACAATAATTCTACATTTTCTGCCTCTTGATCTTAGTAAACTTCTATATCTAAACACTCAGCTTAGCCTGAATAGTTATCTAAGCTTAATTTAGTTGCATATTAATTGAATTAAGCTGAGGAGTTGAAGAAATTGTAAACAAATATAAAAGCTTCTTATTATTCTAGTGAACCTTTTGTGTAGCATGTATAAGTTGTTTTGCTTTTGCTGAAATAATCTAACAAAATTGGTTGATTATAGTCGATTTGCATATCAATCATGAATCTTGTTTCTATGAAAGATTAATTAATCTCAGATTAAATCTAGTAGTAGAAAAGTGCTAAATAATTTCCACTACTGCTTGAAACAATAAATTCATTCTAAGAATTCAACTGAACAATCCCTTAAGGATAAAATCTAATAAAAGTTTAAAATATTAATACTAATTTACATGTTAACGTTTCCCGTAAAAAATTTATCAAAATAATACAAGTTATCAGCATGGTTAAGTTTGAACAAGTAGTATCTTAATTAATGGCCAGAATATTGGTAAAATTATATTATCATTCTTTCTTCAAAATCGGTATTAATGCTCATTTAGTGGCTGCTAAACTTATCTATTTACCAGCCAATACTTTGCTACTAAATAATTTTTCTTTCATTTATATCGAATCTCTGAAAAGTGAAATCTACAGAAGAGGAATATAATACTGCATATGTTCCATTTTGATTCACATTAACTCTATCAAAGATGAATAATGAATTTTAGTAACGACTGTAAGTTAGGAGAAATCTTAAAGAATAAGGATTTTCCAATAAAACTCCTGATTAGTCAGTTTCATAGTCATAGTATCCAATGTATTAGATATCACTTTAGGCAACCTCTGAGTTGGATTTGTAGCCAATAAATATAAAGTCTCCACTTTTTGTCTAGTCTAAATCGTAGATTATATAAGAGTACTCTGTCTCTCCTAGGATTATAGGAAACTATCTTATAGCTTTTGTTAATCAAT